GCAATATTGGAGCGAATATCTCTTTTTAAATGAAATATCTCGGTTTAAACAAAGGTGAAATGAGTGCAAAAATACCACTCATCAGTGATCCATTAAACTTAATGCATGGTTCTGTCCTAATGATCTTAATTGTGCAGACGACCATGATGTGGCAATGGCAAAGCGGGAGCATATAATGGAATATAATCCCGCTAGGACGAGTTCCATAACCCTAGGGTGATCATGAAAACCAAACACTAAACTCATGATAAAAGGTAACTGGTATTACTGTTGCACCGGCACACTTGATGTATACCATGATCTGAACTCTCTTCGTGCCCAATCTCTCCAATGCAGGAACAACATCTCTACTTTTTGATTTATTTATGTTATTCACTTTCAATTTACTATTGCTCTCATTATCACAAACCTATCATATTTATCATCCTGGTTCATTTGCTTCTTGGGACACTAACAACTTTTGCAGAATCACAAGTAGTTACTTCACATAAGAGTTGTGACAACTTGTGTGTCACAAAAACATTGCACATAATACTCTCCTTCGCTCTTCGCTGGGACGATTACAATTTTGGATAATTACGTCAAAGTGCTACAACACCATGTTTAGCTTGCAGGCTATCAGACGGCACCCCCAAAAAGGTGATGATGCCGATCCGGAAAGGATCTGGTCTTTCACCTGGTATACGAGTAGGGTGAAGATGAGGGGAAAGGAACAACCTTGACGACGCCAACAAGAAGGGAATGGCGTCCAAGGACGTCGTCGTCGTCGTGGCCGGACCAGCCGGGCTTAGATTTCTCCGGTGTCCCTCCCCACCTCCCCCAACATCCAAGCATGAACAGGACCAACAGTCGAAGACCAGCATACGCTAGATCCGGTAGGAGGGCACCGCAGATGTTGAGGAAGAGGCCATCAGATTGGAATCGGGCGCCATCGAAGGGCCCCGCACCACCTTCCACCCCCGCGGTCGAGGAGGATGGCTAGCACCGTAGGCTGCCGCGCGCTGAAGCAGGCGTCGACCCACCAGCCATGGCCGCCGCCACGGATGCAGGACACCTCGACGGAGACCGGCAATCAGATCCTTGTCACCACCTTCCTTGGCAGCCGCGCCGCCACCGGCGGCCCCTCTGGTGGCGACGAGGAGGAAAGGCAGGGGTGGGGAAGCCGTCGCCGGTTGCTAGGGTTGGCAGCCCATGTCGCCCCTATTGGAGCGAGCGGGGCGAGAGCATTTTTTTTTCTCCTTACACTTATCAACTTCAGACACATCTACTTTCATCCGCTTCCACGAGAAGTTATGCTTTAGATTAGGATACATCTTGGTCTCACCGATATGAACTGTGTAAGGAGTGTGATGGCATTCTTGGAGGATGTCATCTTTCACCTAAGACTTCTGCGGAATGCAAATGCGACCATTGGGAATTAGGACAATACTTTGTCTATATTTCTGTTTCTGTGTATTCAGATATGGAAATCATCAATGTAGAGTTCCTATATTGCAAAATCAAAGGAGTATGTGGAATGTTTTGTAAGTGTTGTTCTCAGGATCGTTTTGAGTGGTTAAACGTATCAATCGGAGTTGTGAAGCTTACTCCTTCCGTCCAGTGAAAAGTGTATATATAAAAAATTTGGGACAAATTATGGAGTGGAGTACAAAATGCATTGAGAAGGTGCAATATACCATCTCTCTACTCTTTAATTATCCAACCCCTAATGAGCTAAGTGCATGTAAAAATTAAGAAGACCATGTGTAGAATGTTATTGGTCTTGATTACCGTGTGATGAGTGGGAAGTATTTTCTTTCTACTTTAAAATGCGTTCGAAGGATAGAAGTATACTCTTTTATGAATAAATTTTAAAGTTAAACGTACACTCTTCATTGGACAGACGGAGTATGTTCCTTTGCAGCTGTCCCAAATTTCAGACACAACAAAGAATAAGTTTTCCTGTGGCTTTAGAAGCTTTTAACATTCAAATAAATTCATGTTTTGTTGTCTTGTATGTTGTGCGTGATGCATACTCCCTCCTTTCCGGTTTATAGGGCTCAATTCAAAAATCTCACCAATCAAGGTAGATGATGAGTGGTGAAATATTTTTTGTAGTTTTGCAAAAGCACCTAATTAATGCTCTTGTTTTCCTCAAAAAATTATCAATGCATTAGTTGCAATGCATGCATGGATAAAGTACATGTATTGGTCAATTTTCTCTTAATACTTGCATACAATGATTTAATGCACTTTGAAATCTGAACATGCGATGGAAAACAACCAAATTGAGCCTTAAAAAATAAAAAAACTAAAATTTTGAAATAAGCCCTATAAACCGGAACGGGGGGAGTAGTTGCTAGTACAAAAGGTTTCAATTAATCCTATTAAATTCCAAAGGCGGCTACTTGTTATTTGTGTATTATTATGTCGGGGGTATGCTTTTGTGTTACCAGCTACTTCCGGGGAGTCAAACTTGTTTGAAACCCTACTGATTGCGGCAAATCTTTTGCCCTTTTTAAAAAAATATAACACGCATTTGGCACAACAATTTTCTTTTCTTTCTTTTATGTAAGGCAGGCATGATGTTATACAAGCTGACAAAGAGCTGATACTCATTTTCCAGAACTATCGTACTCTCTCTATCCAAATTAATTGAGGCAGACTTAGTGCAACTTAGTACTAAAGTTGTACTACGTTTGCGTCAATTAATATGGATAGGAGGGAGTACGAAATAAATCTGATTTCATAGGCTTCAGTTGCTTTTCTAATTCATCCAATCCAGATAATACAGCAAGCTGCCAGTAGTGTTCCCCACGACCAGAGTTATCTCAACAGTCGTCTAGGGGATCGTTACACAGACAAGTGGATAGATATCGTTGCCCTATTAGCTAGAGCGGCCAATCAAGTGCTTCCATTTAAAAAAAAAATGACATTAATCAAATGCTTCCATTGTTTGACTCGATACGGCTGTGTTGCACAATGACAACAACGAAAAGATTTGTTGATGATAGTTGTCTCCCCATTTCGAACTGGAATACATCTCAAATGCTTGCTCATGGAAAAACAGAAACGGTTTCTAAGATCATAGCAGGAAAAGCCATTCATGAGCCACAATGCAAAGAACAGAATCATGTTCAGGTTCAGGTTCATGAACAAGCTGCTGACAGCCATCAGGGAGAAGGGACTGGATGCTGAGCTACTCATCGAGGGCACCCAGTTGCTTCATGTCCTCCAGGAATGCCATGTAGGAGTCATCAATGCTTTGTGGCTTAGAAGCTGAGGGTGAAGACTGGGCTGCAGATTTTATGGGGGTTACTGAAGGCTTCAGAGCAGAATATGATGGTGCAGATGACTGCTGCTGCTGCTGCTGCTGCGCCTTTGGTTTTGGTTTAGGGAGAGCGGATTCTCTCTTAACTCGAACTGATGCAGGAACCTGCGACAGAAATTAGTTTGAATTCTTGGCTCAGCGCAACACAGAAGCTAGCAATTTAGATCCAACAACTATTTAATACAAAACCCTGACAGAAAAAAAAATTACACGAATATACTATGTGAACTGTTCAAACTTGAGCGCGCAATTTGTTTCGTGTAAGACAGCATAAAAGTATAATGCATTTTAATTTATATGTAGGACAGCATGATAATCCCCTGAGTATATTTAAAAAAATTACTTGAGATGACCAGCAAGGCAACAAGCATTACATTTCAGAATTTTGTTATTGTAGGATGTGGACAATTCACTGGATGTGGATACTGCAAACTAGTAGTACAAAAAGCAATATGCATACAAACCAGTCTTAGAACTAGTACCATAAGAAAAATCAAACACATGTTAGCGACATAAAAAAACTTAAGAGAGTTGGTAGTAGCACACTGGTGCCATAAGAAAACTTGCACGTCTAAGAAACATCTCAACGCTCCACAAGAACAAGAGGAGCATCCATGATAACTTCATGCATGTTAGGAACCTTGCCCTTCGGCTCCACAAGAACAAGACCCCAACGCTATACTATTCAAGCTTCACATCCCGGAAAGCATTTGACTCGGTGTGATGGGAGTATATTCTCGACATTCTCCAACGGCGAGGCTTCCCTAGCAGATTTCATGATTGGATTACTGGTCTTCTTCGCACCTCCACCTCTCAAGTCCTCCTCAATGGGGTGCTGGGCACCCCTATCATTCACGGTTGGGGTCTTAGGCAAGGTGATCTGCTTTCTCCGCCGCTCTTTGTCATCGCCATAGACCCACTACGGCAACTTCTTGACTCGGCCATGATGCGTGGACTTCTTCATAAGATCCGGGGTCGTGGTACCATCCTTCGGACTTCGTTATATGCGGATGATGCGGCTGTTTTTGCGGCGCCAATCAAGGAGGATATTCAAAACCTTGCCCATATCCTACATGGTTCCGGTGAGGTGACGGGGCTGCAAACAAACTTCATGAAGAGCTCAGTGGTGCCCATTCAGTGTGGGCACTTGGATTTGGATGTCATTCTCGAAGGCTGCCCGCCATACGAGCTCCTTTCCCCATGAGATACCTCGGCCTCACACTCTCCGTTTGGTAGCTTAGACGCATGGACTTTCAACACCTCGAGGACAAAATTGCGGCAAAACTTGTGCCTTGGGAGCGCTTACACATCACCAATGTGGGCCGTGACGCACTCGTGAAGTCGGTTCTCACCTCGCAAACTATCCATCACCTCACGCCACTTGTCATTCCCCCACCCATCCTTAAGAGCATCAACAAGATTGAGCAGGCCTTCCTTTGGGCCGGAACTGATAAGGTGACGGGCGGAAAGTGCAAGGTAAATTGGGAAACTATATGTGAACCAACCCACCTCGAAGGGCTTAGTGTGTTGCACCTTGGGAAATTCGTTAGAGCTCTTCGTTTACAATGTCCTTGGTTTGAGTGGCAGGACCCGAGGAAGATTTGGGTTGGTTCGGGCAACCCTTGCGATGAAGCGGACATGGATCTTTTTTATGCTCTTACCACCATTACCATCGGCAATGGTGAGAGGACCCCTTTTTGGAAAGCACCGTGGCTGAATGGTAAAAATCCCGAGGATATCACCCCCCCCCCTTCCCCCTTTATCTTGAAGGTCTCGAAGCACAAATCTTGGAAGGTTAGCGCAGCCATGCACGAGGATGCTTGGATTAAGCCCATTGACATGTGCTCCAGGCCATTTTTTTAAGGCGGTAAGGCGAGGCAAGGCGCTGGGGGGCGCCTCACCGCCTAAGCACCAAGGCATCAGGCAAGGCGACGCCTTGAGAGTTCCGGAGAGTGTGGGGAAGAGGAGATGAGCCCCATAACTTGCTGGTTGCTCCAGCCTGCTGTCCTGGAGAGGAGGGGGGAGCCATAGCTTGCTGGTTGCTGTTGTGGCCTGTGCTGGAGAGGGGGGGGGGAGGAAAAGGCTGCATGAGATTGGAGGGACCACCTACTGGAGAGTTGCCGGAGAGGAGGGGGAGAGGAAGGGGAGAGGCTGCCGGAGAGGAGAAGGATCTGGGATTAGCTCTAGCCGCCGCCAAATCTCCAGAGAGGAGAGACCCCTCTCCCTATCGTGCTGGATCTGGTTTGCTTTGTTTGTTTGGATTCTTTCTATCCCCTCCGCTTACCTGTTACCACGCGAGGGAATCTTTCCTGCTCCTGTGTTCCCGCGCGAGGGGTTTTTTCCCGCCTGAACCTCTCTTTCCCCTGCCTGAGGCGTCTGATTTTGCCTGAGGCGAGCAAGAGGACGCCTAGGCGGACGATCTGGACGCTCTAAAGACTAAGGCGGATGCCTTACTCTAGTTTGTAAGGCGAGCTCGACGCCTTGGCACCTGGGAGCGCCCTGACGCATAAGCGTTGCCTAAGCGACGCCTTAGTGACGCCTAAAAAAAATGCTCCGGGCTATCTTGGGATCATGTCGCCCAATTCATCGAGCTTTGGTCTCAACTTTCCCATGTTCTTCTTGATGAAGCCCAAGACTATCATGTGGAAGCTATTTCCTAGTGGGGAGTACTCGGTCAAGTCAGCTTATAAGGCTCAATTCATAGGAGCTACCCTCACACCTAAGAACAAGGTCATCTGGAAAGCTTGGGCACCATCAACGGTCAAGTTCTTTGCGTGGAGTGCCATTCAAAATAGGGTGCGGGCAGCCGATCACCTTGACCGGCGGGGAAGATAAAATTGTGGCCTTTGCCCGTTGTGCAAAAGAGAGTTTGGGTTTGCCACTCATCTTTTCTTCAAGTGTTGGTACACCTTGCGCGTGTGGAGGTTGATGAAAGCTTGGTTTGGTCTTGACATCAACCCCTCCCAATGGGCGACTCACCACTCCATCCGTAGTTGGTTGATCTATATGGCTACACGGAGCAAAGCAATGGCGTCCCTCACAATGCTCGCCAATTGGACTATTTGGAATGAGAGGAACTCAAGGATCTTCCGGAAGAAATCTACGCCACCTCAAATCATCTTGAACAATTTGAAGAATGAGGCAAAGCTTTGGGTCCTTGCGCGGCCGAAGCGCTTGAATAACTTGATGCCGGGAGCAACGGCCCTGTATCTTTTTTGGGGGTTTTGTTTTTTTGCTACCCCTCGTCATAACCTTCTCTTTATTAATGAATGTATTTTGCCTCGGTGTTAAACAAAAAACATCTCAGTAACATGTTATATGAACTACCTGATAGTCCACAGCTGATTTTGTAATTCAGATGAGAACATATTTTGAAATTGTCTATTTGTTGGAAAGCTGGTGCCAAAACCTTTTGTAAATGGCAGATATAATATAACAGTGATCAAAACCCAAAACTGAAAAGGCAAAATATATTGTTTGCTGCATTAGGTCATCGTTGCTATGGTATATGTGTTTCCTTGGAATGATATACCCAGGCCTTAGCTCATATCACCATGGTACACGGTTTTAATACTCTGTTGTTGTGTTTGAAAACTTTTCAGGAAATAAGCAAGCGATAGCATTGATGCAGCAAGTCAATAACCAGAGTAAAGAACACATACCATAGCTGTTAGCTCAGGAGTATGTTGTGCTAATGGTCTCTTTACAACTGTTGAAGCAGCCGATTTGACGTAAGATGGCTGCTGAGGTAACTGCGGCCTTGGGCCAAAAGCAGCAAATTCGGGTCCTGGAAAAAATGGAGGCCTAAGCATTGCTGGCGGACCAGGAAGTACACCAAAGGGTGCCATTGGCATTTGAGCTGGAGGTAATGCTGGAGGAGGTGGAGGGGGCCTGGCAGCAACACCAGGAGCCATAAATGGTGGCCTTGAATCTGGTTGTGACGGTGGTGGAGGAAATCTGACCAAACCTGGACTTAGAATATCAGGTTGTACTGGAGGCATCATTGGAGGCCTTGGAGGCAAAGGCAGAAACTGCGATGGATGCGGTGGAGGTGGTGGTGGTAAGAACCTTGAAATTTTAGCATCTTCTTTCACAACAGGAGTATCCATAGCAGTATTGTCAGTAGCCTGCATTTCATTTGAGTTCGGTGGCAACCTAGGGGGAGGTGGAGGTGGAGGTAGCCCAACTGGAGCCTGCAAAATGAAATTCAAAGTTGTGACAGGAACTAGCAGCCAAACAATAAACCAAACGAGGAGAATGGTAACTGAAATATCAATAAGGATTTTCAGGGAATGCATAAATAGTAGTAACATATTGGAAGAGTCAGAAATATTTAAAATAAAAATTGAAGTAGCACCTTTGTAGAATCTGCCGAGCTTGCACCCTCTCCAACAGTTTGTTTATTAAGCAGCTCATTTGTACCAGGTAGAGGTGGTTGTTGCAAAGGCCGCTGTGGTGGAGGAGGAGGTGGTGGCAGTAATGTATGATCTAACACAGGTTCTCTGGGAGGTGCACCAGGAGGAGGAGGTGGAGGTGGCAGCGGTAAGCCTGGTGCTATTACAGCGCCAGCAGGCTTAGGTGGGGGTGGGGGCGGTGGTGGGGGTAAAGGTAAAGAAGGGACAGATAGATCTGAAGGTTCTGAAGAGGCTGGCAGTGGAGGGGGCGGTGGAGGAGGGGGCATGGTGGAAGGACCTGCTTCTTCAGATTCTGTCATGGAAGATGAAGCCCCAGCACCAACTGAGGAAGGCAGTGGAATCCTTGGTCCTGTTGTCAATCAAGAAACAAAAGTGAGCAAGAACGTTCCAGCAAACTGTAAAAAAATATTAAGAAAATATCCTACAAGTTATGCTGACCTATCGATGATTTGTACATAGGAGGTTTGCCAGGTGGTGGTGCCCCAGATGGGTTCAAGGTTGGGTGATAGTAAACAGAATCCTGCAGTACAAACCTAGTTAGTATCTGTTCTAAACATGCTGTAACATATATCAACGGCGTCCGAAGAACTGTAAATACCATACCTCAGGCATAGGGTTTTTAGCTCTGTCGTCTTCGTCTGCTGCAGGCCGTCTCTTTGGTGGTCCAAGATGGCTGGTTGGAAATGAAATACAAATTTAATAAACAAAAACAATTGCATGTAAATTTAATGAAATAAACGTATAACAAATGAAAAAATTCTCACCTGAACATAACTGGTTGCTCACCCTTTTCTTTCATCTTTTCTTCATATTCCTGGCATAGATATGAAAAGGCAATGAGGTACCATGCGCCCAAAAAAACTAGTTATAGCATATCCCGTCAAGAAGTTGTACAGAAATTAGAAGATTAATACAAAGTCCAAATAGGTTTACCAAGTACCAACACATTAAAAATCACTCATACTGTGCCATAATGTGAGGGGTATATAACTCATGAATAAGATAATAACAGTCTTCAGTTAGATTGCATAACAGTGTCGATACAGATGATTCTGTAAAAGGAATGATCCCTTTTAGTTCTAACTTTCCCCTGTTATCAAAACCAAATGTTCCTTGTGAACACATCAGAATACACTATCATAGTTCACTAACAGCATGGGACATTTAACAGAAATCCTCCAAATATCATGTTCCTGAATCTTGATGAAATCATAACAGTTTTCTTTTCCTTTCTTCTTAACTCATTGGGCGGCCACTTGCATTTGCTCTTAAAAAGAGTTCCAGATAAACTTTAAAAATACTAACAAAAGATCGGGGAAAAGGAAAAAATAATATGGAACCATAGATAGCAAACAAAACCTAATGTGCTGCCCAAAATGGTCCCTAGCCTGTTGTGTGCGTGGAGTTGGAGGTAGAAATTGGGATCTGATCGGAGGGAATAGCAAGGTTCGCCCTTAGGCACACGTAGAGGCTCGTCCCTTGCCGTGACACTGGAGACTCTGAACTCTGTTCGGGGCAATTTTCTCTGTTTCTTGATTGATAACCCTAATACAAACTATCCTCCCTCTATATAGATCAGAGAGGTCACATAACCTGGAAAGCAAACCAAGTCTTAACCGTTGGGAAAGTAAAGAGAACTTCCTAATATAGATATATTTCCTAGTGATAAACCTGGACTCCTTTTGCTGCCCAGGATTAGTCATGTGCCTGCCTAAGGCCCAACTGCTTGTATTGTGGTTTCAGACTGTGCTGCAGGTTTGGGCCTGCGACTATAGTGCTGCCCCCAATACCTCTCCGTAACACTTCCGCACGCCTGGAGAAACAGCTCATCCTCGAGCTGGAAATCTGGATAGCGATGCTTGAAGTCTTCCAGGGGCAGCCATGAAGTAGTTGTCGAGTCAGCGCCCTGCCACAGCACCAATACTTCAAGGACTACCTTGAACAGACGTGAGAAAACTACAGCGGCCGGAGTTGGAACCACTCTGCCACGGTATTCTGAGCTTGGAGAAGGCGATCACGTATGTCAGCAAGGAACTCATCACGGTCTGAGAGGGCATGGTCCACAGCTGCTACTTTTGCGAGGCCTGGGTCATAAGACTTGAGCATAGGGGGCGGACGCCCTATACACCACCTCAAACGGAGTAGCATTCAGGGCGGACTGAAAAGATGAGTTGCAGCAGAACTCAGCCCAAGGAAGCCAGCGAAGGCACGGTTTAGGACTATCGCCCACTAACATCGCAAGTACATGCCAATGATGCGGTTTACCACTTCTGTTTGTCTGTCAATTTGGGGGTGAAATGCAGAACACAGTTGTAGTTTGACACCAGCGAGACGGAAAAGTTCGGTCCAAACATTGCTGGTAAATACTGGGTCAAGGTCGCTGACAATGGACATCAGAAATCCATGTAGACGGACTATGTTATCGAAGAAGAGCTTGGCGACAGAGCTAGCTGAGTATGGATGTCCCAAAGCAGTGAAGTGGCTATATTTCGAGAAACGGTCGACAACAGTCAAGATGAATGACTTACCACCCACACCCACCTTCGGCAGACCCTCCACAAGTCCATGGAAATGTGTCTCGAAACATGCTGAGGGACCGGAAGGGGTTGGACAGGCCACCAGGATGAAGATGCTCAGCCTAGTTGCTCTGGCACACGACACAACACCACACAAACTCCACCGCTGGCATGTGAGGGATGTAAAAATTGGGCATCTGCAAGATTGCAGGGAGGCAAAGTGAGGTCGGGGTGACGTAGAACCGTCCTTTATGGAGAATGAGGCCGTCGGTGACGCTCCAAGGCCCTGCAACCATCCCTGCTTCAATGGAGTCACGTAGCGCTGTGAGGTCTGCACTAGTATCAATTTCCTGACGCAAGTCATCAAAAAGTTGAAACTGAGGACACAAGAGAGCAAAGACAGCCCCTAGCTCCTCCTCGTGTTGCCTGGAGAGAGCATCTGCGACTGTAATTTGACAGCCATATCCCAGCAGCTTCCTTACCCATTGATGTCGTGGAATGGTGGCGAGGCGCAAGAGAGCAAAAACAGCCCCTAGCTCCTCCTCGTGGCACCTGGAGAGAGCATCTGCCATTGTAATTTGATGGCCTGGTCAATACTCCACATATCCCAGCAGCTTGCTTACCCATAGATGTCGTGGAATGGTGGAGAGGCGCTGTTCAAGCAAGTACTTCGGGCTATTGTGGTCCGTTCTTATTTTGAAGCTCCGGCCCCACAAGTACGGCTTCCAATGTCAACAGCTTTCATCAGTCCAATCAGCTCACGCTCATAAACTGCTAGCTTGGCATGGCATGGTGCCACCGCCCTGCTGAAGAAAGTAGGGGTCTGCCCTACGGTGCAGCACGGCTCCAAAGCCCGTGCCAGATGCATCATAGTCCACCAAGAACAGAGAGTCAAAGTCCGGTAGCTGCAAGGCAGGTGCTGCTGCGAGGGCTTGCTTGAGCATGCAAAAGGCTGTGTCGGCCTCCGAGGACCACACAAAGCCTTCTTTGTTGACGAGTTTGGTGAGTGGAGCTGAGAGCACGCCGTAGTCCTGGATGAACTTGCTATAAAACAAGCAAGCCCAAGGAACCCACGAAGGGTGCGGACACTTCGTGGTTCTGGTCATGCCTCCGCCGCTTTCGCCTTGGCCGGGTCCATGGCGACGCCGTCTGCTGAGATGATATGGCATAGGCCACCTTGCTCTCATCAAAGAAGCACTTGAGAAATAGCTGATGCTGCTAGAGGAGAAGCAAGACAGCAAAGAACAGCATTCATCAAAGCTTGGAAAGTGCTGGTGCGTTAGTGGGGGGCGCAAAAGGCATCAGCAAGAACTCGTCATGGCCGTGATGCGTGCGGAAGGCGGTCATGCGGACCTGATGATACCCACTGCGGAGATCAAGCTTAGTGAAGAAACAAGCGCCATTGAGCTCATCCAGGAGCTCATCGACAACCAGAATCCGATTTTTATCCTTGACCGTACCATCAATAAGTTGGCGGTAGTCCACCCAAAACCGCCATGTGCCATCCTGTTTCTTGACAAGAATCATCGGGGAAGAAAATTCAGAGCTACTTTCCCAGATGATACCTTGCTGGAGCATATCCTCAGTTCCTCACATTGGCATTCGATCTCATCCTTCTGGAGCCGAGGGTAACGGTATGGGCGAACTGCAATAGGGGATGTTCCTGGCAGGAGCCGAATGCAGTGGTCGCACATGTGCACCGGTGGTAAGCCACACGGCTTATCAAATAGTGCCTTGAACCCTTCCAGAAGTATGGTCATGTGGTCATCGGTGGCACATGCATGGACCTGCAGTGGCCCTCCGAACATGTTGATGTCGTGCCAAATGACCTGGTGATCTTTCTTCAGAACGACATGATCGAGTACTCAAAGTCCCAAAGTATGGGCCCAGTGTGTGCAATCATTGGACGCCAGGTACCAAGTCAAAACCATCCAAGGGAATGGCATGACAGTCATTGGCAAACAACTCACCAAGGACATCCAGCAAGAGGCCCGGCATGCTTCGGCACTCGAAACCTTGTCCGCGGGAGCCGAATGCGGTGGTCGTACATGCTCACCGGTGGTAAGCCACACGGCTTATCAAATAGTGCCTTGAACCCTTCCAGAAGTACGGCCATGTGGTCGTCGGTGGCACATGCATGGACCTGCAGTGGCCCTCCGAACATGTTGGTGTCGTGCCAAATGACCTGGTGATCTTTCTTCCAGAACGACATGATCGAGTGCTCAAAGTCCCAAAGTATGGCCCCATGTGCGCAATCATTGGACGCCAAGAGGCTGTTTGGATTGCGCCAGGGTTCGCCTCGCCAACCGCGGGCACGCCAATTTATTGGCGGCCGATTCCGCCGCCCGCGTCTCGCCAATTTATTGGCGGCCGATTCCGCCGCCCGCGTCTCGCCAACAAATTGGCGCTGGATTGAACTAGCGCGGCAGGGCAGGCCAGGGCGCACCAATTATTTGGAAGCGATCCAAACACGTTCGCTATGCATGGTCAACGCCAATATTTTGGACGGGCATTTCAGGGCGTCGATCCAAACAGCCCCCAAGTACCATCTCAAAATCATCCAAGGGAATGGCATGACAGTCATTGACAAACAGCTTGCCAAGAACATCTAGCAAGAGGCCGCCATGCATCCGGCGCTCGAAACCTTGTTCCCATTAGCCATTGTTACTTGGACCCTGGGCGCTATTCAAGGCAAATCCCCATGCGGCTGGCTGCCTCCTCGGCTAGAAAATTGTGTGTGGATCCTGAGTCGACTAGACCCCTGAGACGGCCTCTCGCAACTTGGGCGTATAGCTGCATGGCCTTGCCGGTGCATATAACCATAAGTGCACGCTCCAAGATGGTAGGATGCTGCCAGGGCAAACACTTTCTCAGTTGTGTCAGCATCAACATCGTCGTTGTCTTCCCCATCAGGCACCTCGACCCAAAAGAGTTGGGCACCGGTGGACACGGACGTACTTCTCATCACAGTTAAAGTACAACCCTTTAGCGCGCCGGTCGGCCATCTATGTTGGGGTGAGTTTCTTGAATTGCCTAGCAGGTGAGCATGTCCGCCTGCGACAGCAGCAGGCTGTTTGGTGGGGCAACAGGCACCATCACTGTTGACTTGGTTGGTTTGGAAGACAACGTCATGCCTAGGTGGTGTGGATGTGTCCTCTGAAAAACAACGCTAATGCTAAGCTCATGGCAACCTCAAGGTTCAATGGGTACTGCAAGTCCACATTAGTACGGATGGGCGGAGCCCAGCAATGAACAACTCAACCTGTTGCCCCTCCGAGAGACTCTCGCACCTAAAGTCAAGAGTCCATTCTCGTTGTGTCAAGCTTGTGACTTGCATTGTATCATGTTGGTAACTAGGAGTTGTCTTAGTTAGATCTCGGGGGCTAGATCACTTCCCGATGAACAAGTCAGAATTGCCTCAACAAAAATGGATGGAATTGGACCGAAAAAAGGCATTCAGCTTTGTTATCAATTAGGTGTCAATGGGAACATCAAGATGAATGAGTTAACTATAAGTATCAGATATCTCCGCCAGCTCCCGTCTTACCTTTTTAGAGTACTCAAAATTATACTATAACGCTTGATTTTTTTTTTCTAATCAGAATTAGCAGCTTTGTAGGTATCCATCTTGCAAATCGAGATACCGAGGCCACCTGTACCTGTAGGGTAGAGGGGGATAGAAGAGTGGGCATGTGGGCTTCTATTTGATTTGGAAAAGGGGCTGATATAGAGTTAAGGAACAGATGTGGGCGCTCGTCCACCAAGCGCTTTTTTGTCCAGAATTGCTTTTTGTAGTCATGAGCCTGTTTGTTTCAAGTGTTTAATTTCCACTAGTCGACCAGTCCTGATCGTCGGCCCAAAACTAAGATTCAGGTATTTGACAAACTTTGGCCATGGTGATTCGCCAGGCATCATCTCCAGCCGACTCTACCATAGTGCAGTATCATCGGTTAGGAGGCCATCCACACCTCTTCCTTGTCCTTAGTCTGGTGGCCCGTGAAGAATCGCTCGACATGGTTCAACCAAGGCAACAAGTCGCCCTCACTGTTATAGGTAGGGAATTCCAGCCTGTGGAACTTTGGAGCAGCACGCCATTCCTCCCGGTAGGCGAACGGTGCAGCCAGTGCAGCAGCAGCAGTAATTGTGTTGCCAATCTCATCTTCATCTTTGTTGTGTGCCTTGCTGGATTCTCCCCTTCTCCAGAAGGTTGATGGATACCCTAGCAGCCGCTAGTTGATGTTGTGTGCATAGAGTTGGAGGTGGGAACAGGGATCTGACCAAAGGGAATAGTGAGGTTCACCTTAGGCGCACGTAGGGGCTCGTCCCCTGCCATGACGCTGGAGGCTCTGAACTCTCAGTTTGGGGCAATTTTTCTCTGTTTATTTATTGATAATCCTAATGCAAACTATCCTCCCTTTATATAGATCAGAGAGACCACGTAACTTGGAAAACAAACCAAATCTGAACTGTTTGGAAAGTAAAGACAACTTCCTAATAGAGATATTTCCTAGGGATAAACTTGGGACCTCTTGGCTGCCAAGGATTAGCCATGTGCCTGCCTAAGGCCCAACTGTTTGTATTGTGGTTAGGGACTGTGCTGCAGGTTTGGGCCTGCGGCTATAGTGCTGCCCCCAATACTTCTCCGTAACATGGTGAGAGAAAATTGAAGGAACAGTTAAAATCTTGTATGTTTGATGGACTAAAAAGATATTAAAATTGCAGTAATGGTAGTGAAAACATTCGAGACTTCCAAAAGAAAGTCCAACGCATCTGCAGAATCAGAATACCTTCCTTTTCTTCACAACAAGATTATAAGTATCCTCAAGCTGTCTTTTCTTATGTTTCCTAGCCTTATCCAGAGCACCATCGGCCTCTGCATCAACGAAATAGTAATTAATCACTCAGAAATACAGGCTTGCCAAAATAATTAACATACATTTCCTCCTCGCAAACAAATAAATTCAAACAGACAACAACGCTTTTATAAGCAAGCAAATCTTCTATATCTAATTAGCTGCCCCACTACTAGATTTCTCTGCACGTGCATGCTTCCACATCACCTCAATTGTTGATAACCGTTAGATTGAAGTTGTGTGACATCTGCAAGTCATGCATGTACTCGGAATTTACTTTTCTGCGTTAATCTATGCATGCAAACCATGCCACCTCATCAAGTCATGCATTTCTTTTTTTCCTGGAGGAATCAAGTCTACGCATGTCAGTCCCAAGTAAAACTTCTTGCGTTAATTTTTGAGTGGTTATGGACAGTATGACTTGATAAGGAAAAATATGCATGTCAGCACATTGTGATTGACATACTTCACATTTGAACTTAATTAATATGTTTTCATGTAGCACTTACAGTTTCCCAGTAGTATTAGAAGCTTTCTGCATATTTACCATAAAAATATATAGATATAGATATATATATATATACTTGCCCTTGGCCCCCAGGAAATACAAGTTGCATTTTCCTAACACATGGTATTAGAGCCTAGGTAATTTTTTCGCCCCCACAACTTGTGCCTCTGATCCAATCTCGCGCCACCGCCATCCTGTTCTCGACTAGCCGTCGCTGCCTCCCCTCTCTCCCCACGCATGATTCCTCAACCGCTGTTGGCGGTCCTTCACATGCTGATCCGCGCCGTCCACTGTTGTCGGGTCATCCGCCGCCGCTAACCATGAACCTGTTTTCAGCTGGTCAGCTTACTGACACTAGTTGTCGTGCCATTCTTGGTTGACTCTTGTTTTGTTCAAGATCAGTGCATGCATGCTCTGGTCGGGGCTGGCCCTCGCCGTCGTGACCCTCAAGGACTTTGGAAGGTAGCTAGTTCCTTCCGCTGCCACCACCGTCACCAATCTCTCTACTTCCATCGCCTCAGCTACCGGCTCCTTTCAGTAGTGGCGTCATCATCTGGGTCTTTGTGACTCTCGTACGTCGTCTTTAGTTCGTTGAGGTCTTCTACGGTCTATCTAGATGTCTCTTTCGAGTGTCAAGGTTGTAGACTTAGTAAACATATTTGGTTACCTTATCATCATACTAGTCAGTCAGTATCTAAGCGTCCGTTTGATCTACTTCATTCAAATTTATGGGGTCCAACTTCCTTCGCTTCGAAACGAGATCATCGATACTATAATGTGTTGATTCCTTGATGTGCAGGGTAATCTTGCCCAGTTCTCTTGTCCAGGTGCTCACGCTCATAATGGTGTGGCTAATCTTGCCCAATTCTCTTGTCCAGGTGCTCACGCTATTGGGTTCCTATCAATCGTCGGATGCACATTCCTCGGGACGTGACTTTTGATGAGTCTCGTCCCTTCTGCATGCGTCCCTCGACCTTTTCCGTGGAGGATATCTCTTTCCTCAATTTTTTCTGACATAGTTGTCACTCTTGTTGATCCCTTGTCCACCATCCCACTGCCCCTGCTCATCCGACTATTGCATATCCGACGCCGCCAGCTCCTATGGTTTCCACACCTCACTTGTCACATGATTCTGCACTTTCATCCCCGGTGGCTTCCCCGCCTCCATCACCTGAGTCTATCCCAGTGGTTCCTCCTCGTATTCTTCCCTCTTCTCCTCACTATTATACGCGTCGTCCACGTGTTGTGGATGAATCTACTGATGAGCCATCTACTTTTGGTGTGCCATCTTCCCCGTCTTATAGCCTACTTATGGCTTTCGTGCTCGTCCTCACCTCGCCATTGACCGCTATGGTTTTTCTGGCAGTGTTGATCTTGAGCTGGCCTCTTATCGTGATGTAGATCATCCTGAATGGCAGCATGCGAGGTAGAGGAGATTGCCGCACTTGAGCGCACCGGAACGCGGGATCTTGTTTACCTTCCTCCGTGTGTTTGTCCCATCAATTGTAAGTGGGTCTACAAGGTTAAGACTCGCTCTGATGGTTCTCTTGAGCGCTACAAAGCTCGTCTTATGGCACGAGGCTTTCAGCAGGAGCGTGGCCATGATTACAATGAGACATTGCTCCTATGGCCCATGTGACCGTTGTTCGCACAGTTCTTCATATGGCCTTTGTTCGTCACTTGTCTATGTCTCAGCTTGATGTCAAGAATATCTTTCTTAACGATGAGTTGCGTGAGGAGGTTTACATGCAGCCACCACCTAGGTATTATGTTCCTGATAGCATAGCCTGGCATCTTCGTCGCTCTCTCTATGGCCGTCCCTTGTGCCTAGTTTGAGTACTTCGCCTTCGTGGTGACTGTGGTTTGCTTTTCAGCAAGTGGTCATGATCCTGCGCTTTTTTATCATATTTCCGCTCATGGTCGGACTCTTCTTCTATATGTCAGATGACATGATCATCACAAGCGACGATTCAAGACACATAAAACTGAGAATGTTAGGCCTCTTACAAACAAAGCTGGTAGGGCAAGTAAATAATCATCTGATTCTGCATAAAAGATAGGTTTTTGAAATGGTCTGTTTCTAAGACATTGACCTAAAGGTCTGAATTAGCCTCGAAATACAATGCAATATACTTACTCATCTTTTCCAACTTCTCAATCTGATCCTTTATAGCATCTGGGTCTTTTTTCAAAATACCAACCTCCCGTACCTTCTTTCTTTCTTTTTTGTTCTGCGGAGCAAAGAAAATGATAAAGTTTGAGAGAAATAAAGATGGATTAAACTACTTGGTAACAGATTAAACGAATTACAAGTGTAAAAAATCTTTAACATCAGTCTGATATGAAACTGGGGTTAAAAAGACAAAACTACCCACAAACTAATAAGTGGACATAACGTAGTGTGTAACACTCTGTAATGACCACTATTGCCGCCTTACAGTGTTGGTGCATCTGTATCAGGATACATGACGAGGGATACATTTCCAGGTCAAAATGATGTGCGCCAAAAAAAAAGTGACATCTGAAGATGCAAGAATACAGCACAGAACAATTGCAGCAACTGGCTTTGGTTACTTTGACAAACTAGATTGCTCCTGAAGTGCCCCATCAGATAAAAATACCATAGAAAACTGGAGTGGCGTAACAAAGAAGTATAACTAAGCTGCTAGGCGATAGCATTGCTATTAACCTTTGTTGGGTGGCAAGTGGCATAGCAAAAAAGTACATCCAACTGAGCAACAAAATCAAGCTACCACCCTATTCTACCAGAGATTGCCTAAATCCAGCCAAAACAACAGACAACCAGGCAATTTTACATCACAAAGCAGAACAAGCTGCAGCTTTCGGTCAAGACTGTTCACAATTAAAATTACGGGTATGCTGCCCAATTATGACTATCCATTCCACGTGGCATAGTGGTACAAGTGTATGATTGGTCTATCTGCTGCATACAAGCTCTTCAAGCGAAATACCTCGTATCTTAGTGATGTCAAATGTAAATATGCTTGTTACATGCAAGAATGCCACAATGCATTATCCAATTGAACCAAAACAACGACTAGTTTACTACTCTCTCCGACACATAATATAGGAGCGTTTTTTACACTACACTAATGTAAAAAACGCTCTTATATTATGGGACAGGGGGAGTACGTGATAGCATCTCAATCGACCGTAATGAGCACAAGAGGATCTCATGTTAAAACGATCAGAAAGCTACGAAGTCATTGCTGAATTTCCACCTTCATATAGCCCTAACCCGCCCCACGAAACAACAAATCTAACGAATCGAACTAGTATCGCTATCGCAGCGTACGAGGCTTGTTCAGATAACCCCCCACAAGAGCGCAAGCCGTAGGGCAGAAACCCTAGGGTTGGAGACTCACCCGCTTAAGCTCCTTCCTGCGCTGCTCCTTGCGGAAGGCGTCGGTGGGATTCATGACTTTCCCTCCCTTAGTCGTCTTCATCTTTCCCCCTTCCTCTCGCGCCTCCGGCGGCGGGAGATTTAGCCAAGAGAAGAGAGGGGGGACGTCGCGGCGAACCTCGTCGCGATGGGGTTCGGGTCGGCGTACCTTCTTTCGCTTTCTTTAAAAAAAATTTACTTGTTTCTTTTCTTTGTGAGGGCTGCTAGGGAGGGAAAATCCTATATGCCGCTCGCTGCGTCAAACTGCTGGGGCTTCGCACAGGGCGAGCGACCGAGCAGCGACCCAACAGGCCAGCCCGTTTAACCGTTCCAACGCTCCCGGTTTTGGGAACCTCTAGAAGGTTCCCAGCTGGTTTTTTCTGGTTTTGAGAACCTTCTAGAAGGTTCCCGAAACGGTTTTTTATTTTCCTTTCCTTTTCTATTTCTGTTTCATTTTTCTTTTCTTTTTTTCTTTTTTTCTTTTTTGTTTTTCAAGTTTATTTTACTTTTCAAAAAATGTTCGCATTTTTGGGGAAATGTTCATGCTTTTAAAAAAGTTCAAAATTTGCAAAAAAAATCGTGTTTTCAAATTTTGTTTGGAATTTTCAATTTTTTGCTTCTAATTTCAAAAAATGTTCTCGTGGTCTATTTATTTAATTTTTTTATAAATGTTCGTGTTTAAAAAATATTCAGGAATTTTCAGAAAATTTTCTTGCTTACAAAATTCGTTCATTATTTCGGAAATTGTTCATTTTTCAAACATTGTTCGCATTCTCAAAAATTGTTCATGGTTACATAAAGTGTTCGTGTTTCAAAAAATGTTCCTGTTTCTAGAAATTGTTAATTTTCTCAAAATTTGAAGTACTTTTCGAGTGTTTCAGAAATTGTTCCAGTTTCAATATTTGTTCAGAAAATTTAAAAATGTTTTTATTATCAAATTTTATTCGGAGTTTCAAAAAAATTCCAGTTTCTCAAAAAATGTTCGTTTTCAATTTTTTGTTCGGAATTACAAAGAAATGCTCCAGTTTTGAAAAAAATGTTCGTGTTTTCAAATTTTGTTCCAGAAGTTCAAAAATTGTTTGTGTTACAATTTTCTGTTGAATTTTAAAAAATGTTCGCATTTTCAATTTTTTTGAGAGTTTTAAAAAAATGTGTTTCTAAAAAAAATCATTATTAAAAGTTCCCGTTGTTTAAAAATGTTTGACTAAGTGTTCGCGTTTCAGAAACATTCTCCTTTTACAAAAAAAATTGTTCTAATTTTTTTTTTAAATTGTATCCGCGCTGGTATTCGTTCTTAAGAAGTTCGCGCAGCACTATAGTTAACAATGTGTGGTAGGTCAACTGGTAATAGTACTTCTTTGACGACTGGTCCTGGGTTCGATTCTCACGAAGTCTCTCATTTTTTAGGTGTTGTGTTGTACGCTAACTTGGGCCGGCCCAGTCAGGGCGACACATGTGCGTCAGCGCGCCGTTGGACGCAACGAGCGTCCAATAGGAGCTCCCGCTAGGGAGCTCCTATACGGCGCTGCAGACGCCCGTTCACGCCTGCGGCACCCCGTGTTGGGCCGGCCCACGAGACGTGCAGACCAGCGAATGCATAAAAATCTCGCAAAAAATACTGCTCAGATAACCCCCCTAGGGTTGGAGACTCACCCGCTTAAGCTCCTTCCTGCGCTGCTCCTTGCGAAAGGCGTCGGTGGGATTCATCACTTTCCCTCCCTTAGTCGTCTTCATCTTTCCCCCTTCCTCTCGCGCCTCCGACGATGGAGCGACCGAGCTACACCAGCGGCGGGAGATTTAGCCAAGAGAAGAGAGGGGGGACGTCGCGGCGAACCTCGTCGCGATGGGGTTCGGATCGGCGTACCTTCTTTCGCTTTCTTTAAAAAAATTACTTGTTTCTTTTCTTTGTGAGGGCTGCTGGGGAGCTCCTATACGGCACTGCACGCGCCCGTTCACGCCTGCAGTGCCCCGTGCTGGGCCGGCCCATGAGACGCGCAGACCAGCGAATGCATAAAAATCTCGCAAAAAATACTGCCCTCTACAGGTTTCGAACTCACCACATCGAGTTAACATAACTATGCCACCAGCCACACGAGCTACTGCATGTTTGTGATTAAACAGATGCAAATGCATTATAAGAAGGTCGCACCGCTATTTCTTCATTTAGGAAGAAAAGTTCACAAACCTGAAAAAAGTTCATTGATTTTGAGAATAGTTTATCTTAATTGAAAAAGGTCCATTGAATCTGAAAATAGTTCACTGAATTTGAGAAAAGTTCATCTTAGTTAGAAAAAGTTCATCGAATTTGAGAACAGTTCATCATAATTAGAAAAAGTTCATCAATTTTGAAAAAAGTTCAGCAGATTTGAAAAAAGTTCATCGATTTTTAAAAAAACTTCATCAAAACTTAGAAAAGTTCATCGAATTTGGAAAAAAATCATCGATTTTGAAAAAGTTCATTGAAATTGAAAACAAAGTTCATCGATTCAGTCAAAAGAATTACGAATTTTTAAAAAACCGCACATTAAAGAAAATAAAAGAGGATGAGAAAAAAAAGGAAAAACAAGAAAATAACTAAACCGTACTCAAGAATGAAATAAAAAAGGCAAGCAAAGAAAGTTTGCAAGAGCGTGTGGATGGCCTTATGGTTAGAGCGTAGCGCTAGTAAGCAAGGGGTCGCGGGTTCGAATCCTTCGCTGCCAACTCATTTTAGAAGCCCAACTAAGGTTGTGTTTGGTTGGACTTTAACTTCCAACTTCTAGGCCCAAAAGCTATAATCTGTAGTTCTCTACCAAAGGGTGTTCCCAGGAAAGCAGATTCAATTCATGAGCCAAACTCCCTGACTTTACATCTACTGAATTAAGTGAAAGTCTTTCCCTCTCGCTAGGGTTATCTTTCCTCTCGACGCCGCCGGCGATCATTGAGATCAGCTTTCCTCCTCCTCTACGGGATCGAGTTTCTGTCCTCCGGTCATTACCGGGGTAGTCTTTGACTGCTCCCCCGGCCTGGTTTCAGTCTCCTCTCGTGGGGGGTGAGGGTTCTATCTCCCATCGGTCCCCGCCTTTGGGAGATCGATCTGCTTTTGACAACTCATGGCGTCGTCGGCTTCGGGGTCAAAGGGGAAGGGCAAGTTGGAGGAGCTGATGAAGGAGCTGGCCCTCAAGGAAGACGACCTCGACGACGTGGTCTTTGAGGAAGACAACGCCCGGGCGGAGGAGGATCTCCGCTAGATGATCTTGGCTAGAGTCCATATGGACAAAGGTTTCATCACCTACTGGTTCTTCCGTAACATGAGGATGGCCTGGGATCTTGCTAGTCCTGTGAAAATCAAAACCCTAGAGGAGAACCTCGTCCAGATGCAGTTCAATTGCTTGGGTGATTGGGAGAGAGTTACTCAAGGGGGGCCGTGGCACTTTGATACGTCTCCGTCGTATCTATAATTTTTTATTGTTTCATGCCAATATTATTCAACTTTTACATACTTTTGGCAAATTTTTATATGATTTATTTGGACTAACTTACTTATCCAGTTCCCAGTGCCAGTTCCTATTTGTTGCCTGTTTTTATATCGTAGAAAATCCATATGAAACGAAGTCCAAATGTGATGAAACTCTACGGAGAATTATTTTGGAATATTTATGAATTATAGGAGTTGGAATCACTGCAAACGGAGGCCCACACAGCCCACAAGACACCAGGGCACGCCCCAGGCCCCTGGCGCATGGTGGTGGGTTGTGCCCTCCTCGAATGTCAGTTGGATCTCTACTTCGGGCGCAAGGAAGCTTATATCCAGAAAAAAATTGTGTAAAAAGATCAGCGCAATCGGAGTTACGGATCTCCGGGAATATAAGATATGGTTTTTGGCCAGATCTGGGGAGTGCGAAACAGAAGAGAATAGAGAGGGAGATCCAATCTCGGAGGGGCTCCTGCCCCTCCGCTGACATGGAGACCACGGACCAGAGGGGGGACCCTCCTCCCATCTAGGGGGGGAGGCTAAGGAAGAAAAAGAAGGAGGGGGCTCTCTCCCCCTCTCTCCCAATGGCGCCGGAGTGCCGTCGGGGCTAGGATCGTGACGGCGATCTACATCAACAATCTTGCTACCGTCAACACCAACTCTCTTCCCCTATATGCAGCAGTGTAACACCTCTTCTCCTTGCTGTAATCTCTACTTAAACATGGTGCTCAACTCCATATATTATTTCCCAATGATCTATGGTTATCCTATGATGTTTGAGTAAAACTGTTTTGTCCTATGGGTTAATCGTGATCTTGGTTGGTATGATTGTATATTTTATTTATGGTGCTATCCTACGGTGCCCTCCGTCTCGCGCAAACGTGAGGGGGGCCCCGCTGTAGGATGTTGCAATATGTTCATGGTTTGCTTATTGTCAGTGTTGCGGGGGGTGACAGCAGCCTAAACGCGGATAAGTGGGTCATGGCGTATGGGAGTAAAGAGGACTTGATACTTAATGCTATGGTTGGGTTTCACGACCTTAATGATCTTTAGTAGTTGTGGATGCTTGCTAGGGTTCCAATCGTAGGTGCATATAATCCAAGTAGAGAAAGTATGTTAGCTCAAGAATGATTACCGGTACTTGTTATCGATTGCCTAGGGACAAATGACTTTCTTGTTGACAAAAGCTATCCACTTTTACTACCTTGCAACTTATTTGTAGTTTCTCGCAAAGTACTTGTAGTTTTATTCTTGCAAAATAGTGGCATACTTGTTTTAGGTAAAGCAAACATTAAGTGTGCATAGAGTTGTATCGATGGTCGATAGAACTTGAGGGAATATATGTTCTGCCTTTAGCTCCTTGTTGGGTTCGACACTCTTATTTATCGAAGAAGGCTACAAATGATCCCCTATACTTGTGGGTTATCAAGACCTTTTTCTGGCGCCGTTGCCGGGGAGCAATAGCGTGGGGTGAATATTCTCGTGTGTGTTTGTTTGCTTTATCACTAAGTAGTTTTTATTTCCTGTTCTAAGTTGTTATCTATTTCTAGTTATGGATATGGAACACGAAACACCAAAAAAAATAGTTGTACTTCAAGGATATGGGGAACCTCCTAAAACCCTCGATGCTCGTTATGTGAAAAATATTATGCACTACTTTGATAAGCCTGAGAAAACCCCATTCAACTATATAATGGGAGTAACGTTGGATCAACATGAATACTTTAGGGATTATCGCTTGACACAAAAAGGGAAACTTTTATGGGATCAAATTTATATGTTGCATTGGTATGCTCGGGATATATGCTTGAGATATGATTTTACTTGTTGCTCTAGGGTGAATGCTCCACACCTTCCCTTTTCATGCAAATATAATGATAATGAAACCTTGGCTTCTTATGCCAATGGTAGATATGATTATTATGATGTGGAAAGAATAGAAGAATTTGTTGCTTTTAAGGGTTCTTATGAAATTGAATCTTTGTTTGAAAAGTATGAAGATTTTGATGATTAGGTTTATAGACCTGAAATTTTTTCCATCCTTAAATATTGCTATGATAATTACAAATACAATTCCGATATTGATGCATTTATTGAGAGAGTCTCTGTTGTCCAAGAAGAGAATAATGTTTTGCAGGAGTCTATGGAGGAAGGAATTGATGAAACTTTGAGCTCATTGGATGAAAAAGATTATGAGGAGAGTGAAGAACAAGAGGAGGAAGAGCGGATTAGCTACCCTTTCCCACCTTCTAATGAGAGTAACTCTTCAACTCATACATTTTTTAATGTCCCTTCGTTCTTACCGAAGGATGAATGCTATGATAATTGCTATGATCCCGTCGATTCATTTGAAATATCCCTTTTTGATGAACTTGATGCTTGTTATTCTTGTGGCCAAGATGCCAATATGAATTATGCTATTGGAGATGAACTTGCTATTGTTCCCTATGTTAAACATGAAATTGTTGCTATTGCACCCACACATGATAGTCCTATTATCTTTTTGAATTCTCCAGACTACACTATATCGGAGAAGTTTGCTCTTATTAAGGATTATATTGATGGGTTGCCTTTTACCGTTGCACGTGATAATTTTGATGAATATAATATGCATGTGCTTGCTGCTCTTACTTGCAATTATTATGAGAGAGGAACTACATCTCCACCTCTCTATGTTTCCAACACGATAAAATTGCAAGAAACTACTTATGCTATGTATTGGCCTTTACTTGATGTGCATGAATTGTTCTTGTATGACATGCCGATGCATAGGAAGAGAGTTAGACTTTGTCATTGCTTGATATATGTTGCTTTGTGATCACTACTAAATGCCAAATCATTGCTAATTCAAATTGGCTTTGATATACCTTGGGATCCGGGTGGACCCATTACTTGAGCACTTTATGCCTAGCCTAATGGCTTTAAAGAAAGCGCTGCCAGGGAGACAACCCCGAAATTTTAGAGAGTCATTTATTTTGGTTGAGTGCTTTTATAAAGTTTAAAAACAAAAAATATAGAGGGGAACTTAAAACTTTTCACAAAAGAGAAGCGATTGAAAGGTGATGCATTGCGAAAGTGAGGGTCGACCTTGAACACTTGTGTTCATGCTCATGGAAACAATGTAGAGTTTTTCATGAAGATTCTCACAAAAATAATTATCCCCTTGTACAAATTCCATTGTATTATAAAAATAATGTGCCAAGATTTGCCTTTAGGATGATTAGATTGCTTGTTAGTTTGTGCGGTGCAAAGCAGAAACTTTGGTTGTAGTGCGTGATTT